AACTAATTATTTTAGATTCGCTATACCGCTTCTTATACACAGAGCAGAACTAATATTTAATACATTCTCCACCTACATGTAGGTAATACTCAAAGTGTACATAAGGCATGTCTCAAGACTTGGAAGACAAGATGATGATCTATTATTTCAATTAAATAGAAATCATAATGTGCGTACATGCAAACATACTAAAAGCAGTACTTAGTTCAATTATGATTAAATAACTTTGTACACATTTTCTATAGGACATAGAGCAAAGACTTTTGAGTGGTTAGCAAAGTAATAATGATAATAACAGAACTAATTACAATTTCACAGATTATTGAAAGTTTTAAGCATTCTAAAGAACCATTGATATGCGATATTTGAAATTACAATTTGTTTAAATCACAATAATATAATCAAGAGTTGACACATTTGTGCATAATTACATATGGCGTATAGCCAAAAAAAGGAGGGTGGGGTGGTAAGGAACTGAGCTGTCGCATGTACTTTCATTGTATTTATATTGATTTTTGTTATCGGCATTCAAAGGAGAGAGGGGGGGGGGTGGGGTGGGTAGCCATATATGTTGCTTTAGCCTCTGAGTGTAGATAACTTTCAAAGTAAATCAGTTAATTTTTTTCTCTGCTTGTATATAGAGGCATTTTTCATGAAATTCTTTCTAATTTCTTTACACGGATTTGAACATTACGGATAGAGCCAGGATTACAGTAGGGGAAGAGTTGTCTCGTTCTATGGAGATTGGTTACGGTGATAAGGATTGAATAGGGTATCATTATCAAATAGAATATTCAGTTGCAGTCAAGTTTTAGCATGGATTTAGGAAGTTCAAGTTTACGACTGCATTTTGATTTGACCTCGACCATGTCGAATGGCAGGCTTTTATCAGATCATTTCACCGATGTCTGTGAATATTATTGAAAGATACACCCGCACAAAGTTTATCGTACAATACGGAAACGGTCTTAATACATAACTCCAACTGTATTTTTTTTCTTTACGCAGGGGTATACATAGTTATTTACATGAGCTCTTGTTGTATGTTATATATCTTCGTCACTACATCTTCATATTGTTTTTTTTTACCTCCATATAATATTTCTTTCATTATCTTTCAACAATTCACTTCCGATTTTACAGCTGTTTTGTATTCACTGTTTTCTTGACTTTTTCTTTGCCAAATAATAATAATAACGAATAAACTCTTAATCAGCGATAGTTGAGATGAAATTGAATGCCATTGCACGTTTCCAAAACGTTCATAATTATGAAGTTATATCATAATCGCATAAAGGTTCATTTTTCAAAGGATTATGTTCAAATGCATTTGAAACCCAAGCGTTTGAAACTATACATGTAAAGCTAATAATATTGAATCCTTGACTAATTTATGGCCGAAATCAATAAAGTCATCTGTAACCCTCCCACACGTTTCCCCAAACACGTACGCTTCCCGGTTATCTTCGTTCATTTGAAAATTTAGAAAAAGTTCACCATTCGGCATCCTTTTACCGGACATTCATAATTACGTTCCATGGCAACTGATGATATCGGGAGAGGAAATAGATGGGGATATAAATAATTCTTCAGAATATTCCCAGAATGCCGTTTATGTATGCAATAATGCAAAAGAGAATAAATTACTCGGTAAATAATTTGAGACATGCATTTTGTTGCATCATGTAAATGCTGAATGTTCGATTTAGGAAAAATGTTCGTAGGAAAGTGAAGAATAACTTCAGACGTTTAAAGTAGACGCAGGGGCGGCGGAGCGAATTCCAAAGTGGAGGGGGGGGGGCACCAACAAAAAAGGGCACTTTATGAAAAAAGAGCACCTACAAAAGGAAATCTCAAAGCGAAAATATACAATTTGTTAGACATTGGTATATACCCCTACATTGTGTTTACATTATCAGGGATGATTTCAATATTTATTTCTCTTTATACATCATATAAGATATTGCTTAAGCATCATACTTTACAGTGGGTTGTGATGGTCTGAACATTTAGTATTTGTTAGGTCGCAGTGCGAAAAATTATAAGCACATTCTCATAACGGAAGACTGAAAAGACCTTTGATAAGTAACATAATCATTTCATCTATAAATGCGAGCAAACTTGGGGGAAAATTGCTCTTAGTCGCTTGAAATTAGGGGCGCGTTTAATGATGAGAGGAAAAGTGGATACTAATCGAAGCGGATAACACACTTGTTAGAAAATAAAATAAGCATGTGTCAAAGTACAAAGGGTAATTATCAGAGGTGAAAATGGGGCACTTCTTACACCTACATAAAGAGGCACTCACCAGAGATGAAAAAGCCCCTCATGATAATGGAAAATGGGCCTTTACAGAAAGGGGATAGGTCCCTTATCAGACAGGAAAAGGGGCACGTATCATTGTTAAAAGGGAAATTATCAGAGGTGAAAAGGGGCACTTATAATAAAGGAAAATGTGTTTTAGTTGAAAGAAAATGGGCACCGATCAGATTTTAATAGGCACTTATCGGTGGTGAAAGGGGGCATTTATGAAAAGGGGGAAGTGGCTCTTATTAAAAAGAAATAGAGGCACATGATAATATAAAGTGGGCACTTTTTAGAGATGAAAAGGGGGTAATTATCAGAAGGGGGAGGGGCACTTATAAGAAGAGAAAGAGCATTTATTAGAAAGGAAAAGGGGCACTTATAAAAGTAAAAGGGGCATTAATAAAAATAAAAGGGGCAGTTATTGGAAGTGAAAGGGACACTCATCAGAGATGGAAAGAGCACTTATCAGGAGGGGACGGGACACTTGTCAAAGTAAAACGAATATCTCTCAGATTTGAATGGGGTAGGCCTAATTGTCGGAGGACTCGAAGAGGGCACTATAAATCTGAACTGAAAAGTAGTAACTTCTTCTACCTGAAAAGGGTCATTTACCAGAGATGAAAAGGGACATTTATGAGAAGGGAAAGGAGCTTTTTCCCCCTCTAATGGGGTCACTAATAAGTACGAAAAAGGGCACATGTGAAAATATGAGATGCGCTTATTCGAGTTAAAAAGGGGGTAGGTATTACAAGGGGAAGGGCTCTTCTTAAAAAGGAAAAAGGGCACATGTCAAAGTAAAAGAGGCACATCTCAGATTTAAATAGGGCAATTATCAGAGGTGAAGGGGGCACTCCTCGTACCTGAAAAGGGGCACTTACTAGAAATTAAAAAGGGCACTTATGAGAAAGGAAAATGGACACTTATTGCAAAGGAAAATGGGAACTTGTTGAAGGAATAGGGGCACGTGTTAAATTAAAAGGGGCAATTATCAGAAGTGAAAATGGGAAGGGCAGTTTTACAATTTAACAGGGGCACTTGTCAAAGTAAAAAGGGCACTCTTCCTAGGTAAAAAGTGGTACATTTTACTAAGTTAAAGGGGCATTTTTTTAATGTAAAAAGGAGTACTTTTGGGGTTCTGGAAAAAAGTGGTGGGCACTGTGCCCCCTGCCCTCCCTGCCCCCGGAGGTTCGCCTCTGAGTAGACAAAATAATTACAATTATCATCAAACGCAATTTTTACATTTTCTCTAATCAAGGGATGCAGACGGGTAAATAAAAGCTTATTCTCCTTCATATCTAGAAATCACAGAAGCTGAAAATGAGATTGAGAACGGTCTAGAATTAAACATAATAATAATCATAACTGTCATACATAATGTACATAGTATCTACATTATGACAGAAACAAAACAACTTTTTAGACAATCTTTAGACAAACTTTGTGAATACTTTCCCAAGGTGATTTCCTGGGGGTACTGCAGCGATTGTTGAATATTAGAATGCCGATAAATTTAGTTGTAAATTGATGAGACCTCTTGTGCCTCTTTAATGTCTTAGTTTGCCACAATGTGTCACTATCCGTGCATCCTTCAGACAGACCTACAGAGGCCTTGTCACAACGTGCAGGAAGGAATAGAGGCTTATGTTAGAAAGGGGCATGTTGATCAGACGGTGTACTGAACAGAATTTGGAATTAGTTATACTAACATGAATGATTTGCAATGTGTCATCATATTCAGGGATTGTTTGAATCGTGAATAATTATGTCTGGCATCTAGCGTAAATCGAGATTAGATGAAAGTTATGATGTTTACTGGGGCGCACTTACATCAATGGATCACGACATGACTAACATACATTCTGTAACACGTAACATTGTGGACATTTAAAAGGATTCATCATATAAAATTTCCTATATGAGATGTCGATTTTGGGTATAAAATCGACTTAAACACATGGAATAATAATGAGGGGGATATAAAAACACCTAACGACACTCGCTTTGTTGTAGTCTCATGTCACATTAAATGGCGTAAAACATGCATTCTTAGAAGGTCCATGGTACAAGTAGGGTAAATAGGGACTTTTAGATTCTGCACGATGAGAACGTGGACTGCCCTTTTATTTCAAGGCAATGTCACGTCCTTTTAAGGCACTGGCAGTGACGTCACATTGCCTTAAAAGGGCAGTCCACGTTCTCGTCGTGCAGAATCTAAAAGTCTCTACTATCAGACAAAGTCAGCAATGATACGTATTGCTTTATTGCTTTATGTCTTATTTAGATGACTTGGTAATGTGGCACCGGCAATCACCAAAGGGCGTTGTTGCACCAACCCATAGCATATATTCAGGTTTAAGATTACTAGACAACACTGTCAAAATCAATCACTTCGGAAATTCTAATGCAATATAGTTTTTCCTTTTGTTTAGTGCCACCTTTTCTTTATTATAAATGATTCAAATGGTATTGACAAAGTATAATTAAAACACTTTGCACAGAGAGAGATATGATATGGGTGTATAACACCATTCCAGGATAGGGCCTACTACCGACTTGCATTTTCATGTCATACATTCTTCCATATCGTCATCGATATCGGTTTTGACTAAATTCACCTAATTTCTTAAAAAGTGAAAGCAATGTTATATATGATGATTTGATATTAATACTTCAATCTTTCTTAAATCCCACAGCGTTCACTGTTGGATCACCGGACACACGTGGGACGAAGTTCATGTTTGCGATGCCGAGTAACTTCAATGTTGCCAGTAAGGTAACTCTGATGATCGGGTCTTCAAACCCTGGCATTGCCCGTGTCATGGTCAACATTCCTGGCTTCAAGTTCCGAAGAGAGATCACCTTGACCCAACGTCAGATGAAGACCATTAGTATTCCAGGGAATGTGGCAGCTAACGGAGGGGGTCCTCAAAACGGGACAATCGTAGTCACGTCAAATCTGGAGATTACTGTCCATGCTGCGAACATCATGCCGAAGACCAACGACGCCTTCGTGGCGATTCCGACCGATGCTCTTGGGAAGGAGTACGTGATTGCTTCGTATGACATCGTCACAGGTCAGTGGTCAGTGTTTACAATCACAGGCACTCAGCAAGGTACAAGAATCCAGGTGGTTCCTTCGCAGAGGACGCTTCATGCTCGGCAATGGTACAATCCTGGCCAGATTATCAATATTCAGCTGAACGAAGCACAGTCGATACAGATCAGAGCCCCAATGGATTTGACTGGAACGTACATCACAGCGGACAAACCCGTCGCTGTTGTTTCTGGTGCCACCTGCACGCGTGTTCCAAAGGACATGCAGAGGTGCGACCATCTGGTAGAGATGTTGCCTCCCATTTCGGCCCTCGGTACTCGCTTCTCAATTGTACCTCTCCTCAACAGAACTGGATATGTCTTTCGTATGATCGCAGCACGTCCCAACACCAGAGTCCACATGGCCGGTGTGATCTATACCCTTGGACAAAGGGGTTCCTTCAGAGAGTTCAACCAAGACGCCCAGCTTCCAGTCACAATCACATCAAACCGACCTCTTTTAGTGATGCAGTATGGCAAAGGAATGGACATCGATTTCTGGGGTGATCCATTCATGTCTATTGTACCACCTGTCGAGCAGTACATGGAAGGAATGACCACCTTTGGACCTTTAGCACAGTCTGGGCAGGACAGGTTCTTTAGTTTCTTGTCAGTGTCGGTGACTTCTGCAGATCTGTATACCATAAGTCTGGACAACGTTCTCATCATGAACACTGAATTAAACCTTCCTCTTGGCTCAGAGACAATCAGGTTAGTGATGGAAGCCGTTTTCTAAATTATTTCCCAAACCATCAAAGGAAACCTCTGTGTTATTCAATCAGCAAATCTATAAATTGTTTTATTTTTAAAAAATTGTTTTGTCTAACCAAATAACTCTATATAAATATGTTAATATACTAAAATGAAAAGAAGAAAAAACAATTTGGAGTTATAAAAGATTTTTTCTTTCTTTTTCTTCCAGGTATACAGCAGATCGGAATATGAGGATTCAAAATATTCCACACACGCTACACAACCCATCTCTTATGTCACGTTTCACCGCTATCTGCCACGGGGTATCTCAAGGATCAGGCTATGGGTACCCAATCGGATACAACCTAAGAACTTTACTGTGTTCAAGAACGGACCCAATGACAGGTATGTCATTTAGTTCGTAGAATGATTTGATTAGATTTCAATCGAATGTTATCGGTTTTATTTGCTAATTTTTTATTTGGATGTATTGTGTCTCGTGGCACATTGTTATCTTTATAAACTATCATCATTAACAATCAGAATGAACTACTATCATCAATATTATCATCACGATGACCACCACGATGAGTAGCATCCCTCTCATCATCATCACCATCAGCTACATCTTCATTATCATCCTCTTCTTTATTTTCTTCATCGTCATCATCATCAATATTTATTCGTTGACATTTGGTTTTAATCGTCATGCAATGATAATGTTGGTTTTGTGTGATTTGAATGTAATTGCTTTTCTCCTAATTCTGTTCCGTGGCAGTTCTAATACGTTTTGTCTTTAGTCTGCATTTTTTTTTCTGGGGGGGGGGGGGTATAAATTATGTTCCCGAATCGTAAGGAAAAAGTTTTTATTTTTTCGTCTTTAATGTTTCTATCCAGGTTTAATCGAGGAATTCCAGTGCCCACCACCGATCCCGCCCATCGTACCCGGTCTGGTACCAAGCAACGTACCAGGCATGGGAGGAAACCAACCAATCCGACCAGGGCTAGGTATGGGTGGTATGGGTGGCTACGGAGGTGGCTACGGGGGCATGTACCCCGGATTCACCACAGGAGGACAACCCGGTGGCTACCTACCAGGGAACTTCTTCACCGGAGGGAAAGCTCTGAACCCCAATATACCAATCCTACCTGGTCTCCCTATTGATCCTAACGCTGGAGCTGCGCAGACTCAACCGGGGTTCAACAATAATCCTCTGAATCCAGTCAGTCCGAACAACCCATTCGCCAACCCCGGTCAACCGTTTGTTCCGATGTTGCCTTTCAACCCGATGGGACCAGGAATGATTCCACCACCTGAAAGTAAGAATTGTAACACCACCATCACCCCTTCCCAAAAGAGAACAACCAAAATATCCATAGTGAACCTAAAAAAAGTCACAGCCCGGAAACACCTGTTGTCTGTTGTTGCTGTTGTTTATGTTTTTTAGCTTACTGATTTTCAACATTATCCTCAAAGACCCTCTCACACATCTGTCAAATTTAGAGTCCTAAGAATATTGTAAGGCACATAAGATATTCCCTAGAATATTGAATAAAACATTTCAAAGTTTATATAAAAAACGTAAATTGTGTAATCTAATATATATTGATATAGAATATAATATTCTCATTAACGTAGTAATTTAAAACAGAATCCCATTCTCTTTACGACAGGCTCTATAAAAACTAGGCCTAATAAAAACCATGAAAGACACGGTGTGTAAGGTAATTTTATTTGATAAGCGAAAGTTTTCTCTTTCATTTTCTTGAGCCTAAACTTCAATTTATCAAGTGGCCAAACCCCGCTTTCTTCCATGTAGTATTTAGTCACGTATTGACCAAAACTTGGTAAATTCTTTTTGCCCTGTTTAGATTGTTACACCTTAGGCCTTCTGATCCTGGCAGCTGTTGCCCCGGTAACAGTAGTCTTCATCGTGATGCTGGTTATCCTCCTAGCTATTGTATACAGGTAAGAAATCATATTTCTTCAGTCACTATTCCATTAGTAAGTTTTATCAATTTACTTTCCATGTATCATTATCTGCTACAAAATTCTTTAAAATACACATAGCGATTGTTGATATAGGCCTTTTCCATGACATTCCCTACAAACGCAAATTGTTGATGCACGATTCAGATTGTTTTAAAAGTCTTAATTTAGGGACTATTAATATTAATGTTCGTACAAGCGGCCACTGACATTGCTAAGCTACATGCACGAGAAAATAGGATATACTTTTCTTTTACATGCGTTATACATGCCAACATAAAATGTATTATCTGTTTTATCATTCGCATTCATTTCTCAAAAGTAATCTAAAACCACTACATCTTTAGAGAAAAGACAAGCAATTTGCAAATATTACATTTGGAAGGAAGGAAAAAAAAACAATTCTCTATCATTTCTTTTCTCTTTGCTTGGATTAGCCATCGTATAATGCTTGAGATGAATGCCGCTTATAAATATATCTTTTTCCTCCATTTTATATTGGCAGGTTTAAGAGGAAAAACTAATCTACACAAGGGCTGACGACAGACGAAACACTAATCTTTATGGAAAATTTTGAGATGCCATCAAAAAGAGTATCAGACTAAAAGTTTCATTTATGTAGATTTTCGGATAATTATCTCCTCTCATCTAAATTAAATTGACTACATCAATCGGGAAAAATATATGGGCTATAGTCGGCTCATTTCCTAACATATTTGTACTGTAAGTGATGTAATGTCTTATAAATGGTACGTTTTGATTTGGTAGATTTATAATGATAATACTATTAAGGTTAGATTATAAAATACATTTACTAATTCTGACCGAATGTGGAGCTGAGGTAATGAGCACCTAAACATGAAGAAAAAAGTGTTGAAATATGCGTTTTCAATACAGAAAATACCTAAATCCCTAACGAAAAATATGAATGAATATTTTTTATTGCAAAAAAAGAAGATGCGCGCGCGAATGAGGGGTTTTGATGTATTTCCTTTATTTTTGTGTTAATTTTGTAAATTATTTTAGCTATTGTTTATTAAGTGATGATTCTTATTTGCACATTGTCATCAAATGAAATATATGACGTCAATTTTTCATAAAATAAATAAATTTATATCGTTTTTTCAGACCAACTTTGGTTGAGCCTAAATGAATTGAATCTGTTTATAATTTGTTTGAAAGTTCACATTAGAATGAACGGTAATTCTTTATTTTTGAGGAAAACTTTGCAACTTTATTGACTTTTATTTGAATAATGATAAAAAGATGCGTATTTGTCTGTGTATTTAGTAAGCATAAGTTATCCTAGATCAATTCTTGACATTAAACTGAATATTTCACTCGCTTGTTTGTTCTTTCTTTGATAGAAAATGGAACATTCTTGCAAAAAAGTTTTGTAAAAATACCAATGTGTAAATGTATGTTGACGTATTATGTGCAATATATTAAATGAAAAATGAATGTTCTAAAAAGGGACTTGAAAGGTCAATGTGTTTCCTTTCGTCTTGTGACACTTGCTAAAGTTATATCATTGTGACGTCAGAGTATAGACTGAAAAGTGATTCAGATTGGATGATAGGATTCCTGACATTTAGATTGTTCTTTTCCACTCTCAATGAACCTCCTGTGCATCATCCCTGATTCAACCAATCACAACATTCGTAGCATAGACCATTCGCTAGTAATCCTGTCCCCATAAATCACTGTAAAGCGGATTCTGATTGGCCGATGTTGGGCAAATTTGTAAAAGATTTCAAAGAAGTTTTCATTTCAGTCTCTTTCATTTAAACGTCATGTTACTTTGAGTAACTTTGAATGAACCAAAGTAATCATGAATTATGTTTCAAACTTTTCCCCTGTTTTATGAATATATCAGTGTTTTGAAACGCAGGGACACTAAGTAATATTAGGACTTAAATAGTTTACTTCTCTCTCTACTTTGAAAGATACATGAACATTTCAGTACATATCCTGGAAATTTCCATTACACCTCGATTACGCCTGTCTTCAGGTTTAAAAAAACACAACTAAACTTGCCTTTATAAATTAATCTCAATCATTATAAAATATGTCCCAAAACTACACCATCATGCCCTTTTGGCGTACGTCATTGATCTATAATTATTTAAGTGAAGGTTTACGGTTGCCATGTCTCATCGTCCCGTGTGAGACACTGTGCTTGCTTTCAATGTATAATCCCTATGCATAAGCACAGTGTTACAAGGACACATGGATAAATCAAATGAGGAAGATAGTCAAAAGGCCTCCAAAGATTTTAATCATGGAATAAAGATTAAAGGAATCGTTCCTTCAAGTTGATGTGTTGATGAATGTAATAGTTAAGAACAAAACCGTACCACATCTTTACTCAATATGTCTTGATCACGATATAGAGCGCATACTGAATAGCATTGCCTTAAACACCATCAATGGAAATATTAAATCTATAAGAATGTTCAGAAAGAATATCAAGATAATCGTGTTACTATATATTAGAGTGTTGTCTATAAACCAAATTTAACCCTTGCCCATGAAAGGGATTAAAAAAAGGTTTTTGAATTATGTTTGTTCACAGCACACGTAGCCTGACGATGACAGAATCCTGAGTAACATGAACGATATTAATGTCATACGCCGACCTTACTATCATCTTCTAAAATTGATTGAACATAAGAACTTGAGATGAGATGATTCGGAATCGGGGTGAATTTTTTCCTGAAACTATGTTATGTATACCCATTTCATGTTTTCCGTGTGTTTTATAAATTTGTTTTTGCAATTGGTATACATCAAATAATACATAAGAACATTTTCAGTGGGAAGAAAATTAATCATGTTAATTAATCCTCTCCATTGCACACTCACATTAACAAGGTTACTTCATGAAACGTTACATAGAAAGTAGGGCGACTATACACAGCAACATCTGAATGCATTCGTTTTAAAACCACACCGCTGATCGTTACCCCTCTCTCCTTCCCCTTCCCTTTCCCTTTACCCCCTGCTCAACGAGACTTGTACACTTTGCTGTCATGGCGACATGCTCTGAGTAATAAAACTATTTCCCGCGCTCAGTACGTTCCTTGTATTACTCACTTCCTTTGAGGGTACTTTCACGAGTTGTCTGTTCCTTTACACGTTGACATTGTTCTCCATATAGTCTGCCTGAACCAGAGTCAAGATGGCGGCTTAATCAAAGCCAATTTATTCGTGTACCCCTCTCCATATCAAATTTCATATTCTTTAATAGAAGACATTGAGGTTTGAGAAATATTCTTATCGAAAAAAGTTATTATTATGACCAGTTGAAAGTACTGTATTAAATACTTACCCGATGAGTGGATTATACAAGACTATATAGATATCGATAATAATTACAAAAATATCAAACAAAATACAATGATAAACAATTACATATTAAACAAAACAAATCAGAAAATGCAAATAAACCTTCAAATTTCAATACATATGAAATATACATCAATGTGAACAGAGTAAGTTAATCATCAAAAGGAATTATATATATATATATATATATATATATATATATATATATATATATATATATATATATATAAACCAAAATTTTGAGAATGTTTTCTTAATAAGCGAAATGATAGCAAATAGTTAACAGCAACTCCGTGGTTTAAGGGAGATTCTGCTTATTCACGTTTCCATGGACAGATATAATGCACTTATGCCCAAAACTTGGAAGACAAAGGGTAAAAAAGCAACAGCTTGAAACAATTGCCCAACACAATGCGAATTTTCACTCAGCAAAGCTTAAATAAACCAATAATCAAAAAATAAATTATAATAATTTTCCAGTTCCATTTGGTATGCAAATATTAAAATGAAACCTCTATCGGATTTTTTTTTACTGTAAAGGATGATGATACTACAAGACGAACGGAAAGAAAAAGAAGTGTTCTGTCATTCATTTTGTGTCCATTTCATGAGCTTCATCCTCTATTCCAGCATGTGCGTCATCAATACGTTTGTGATGATAACATTATTTCTATTCTTAGAAAATTGAAACAAACTGAACCTGTATTTGATTTAATATCCAATTTAATCCACCAAAATAAACTTCAAATGAACGTTTATAAAGTCAATGTTCTGTGCCGGCGCTCTGACACATCATTTTTAGGTGTGTCCATTGATATCGAAAAAGTTGTTTCATGAAAGGGACATTTTCCATATCTTGAAGCAGTTGGATTATGTAGTTGGGACAATATTTGGGATAGGAACAATCACGGTTATCGATTGTATTAACGAATAAGGCGATTGTGATGAGTGAGTGTATGTGCTAAGATAGTTATTTGCAATACTTAATGATTCTCCCTATTTACTCCTTGTCTTTAGATAACTACCCCCGAAACAAGAAAGACGTTAAATATATCTACATAAATTATATCATGTTTGAATGTGTACAAAGGCATTACGATTCAGGCTCTGTTCAATCCCCCATTCCACGCAAACTCTCTTTCCCTATTCCCTATTTTCTACCCCGTCACGTCCTGCTCTAAAGTTATAATGACGTCACAAGGGGCTGACTCTCACCAGAGGTCGCTTTATATATAGGCCTAACCTAAGAGATCCTCCTATATCAGCTCTATGGTATAACTCGTGACATTTTCCTGAACTATGAAAGAAAATGAGGGGAACGAGGGAGACAGAGAGAGTGTGAGAGAGAGAGAGGTAGAGAGAGAAAGAGAGAGAGAGGGGGGAGGGAGATATACAGACAGAGAGAGACAGAGATCCAGAGAGAGACAAAGAGAGTGTGTGATCTTGGTGTGTGTCCGAGAGAGAGAGAGAGAGAGAGAGAGAGGGGCAGACAGAGCGATAGGTAGATATAGACAGAGAGGGAAAGACAGAGAGAAAGAGACACAGAGGGAGAGAGAGAGAGAGAGAGAGAGAGAGAGAGAGAGAATATTCTCCATAGTTTCCATCGATCTCTATTTCATGACACACACTGAACTGAACTAAACAAGGCTTCCTATGGTCTCCCGATGAGGACTCCATATCACAATAATGTCTCCTCTGACAAGGCGCTAACAGCAACGATCTGGCAGGTTGCCTACAATACACAAAGCTTAGATACAAAAGAAATACAAACTTGGTGAAGAGTCTTATATTTCAGAGGTTCCATCAAATATCTAGGTCTATAAGAACGTAATTCCGTAAAAGACAGCAGTAGCCTTTTTTGCCTGATTTAACTCAGAACAAACACAAAATTAACGGCCAATTTTTAAGGTATAAAGTGACACTCTTTAAAAATGGAAATGGAAGTGTTATCAGGATTTAGTAGTGGGTTGCCTACCTGATCTCCATCATATATTTCAATTACCATACAATAATTGATCATTCTCTCTACCATGTTTTGAGTCATTTGTCGGCTTGGAAATTACTCTTCAGTTACGGAAAAGTTTGATTAAACCTGAACTAAGAGGGCGACAAAGTCTAGTCTACTGGCTTCAAGATTGAGTAAATACACAACCACCTCCTCCCCTCCCCTCCCCCACCCTCCCCCTCTCTCTCTCTCTCTCTCTCTCTCTCTCTCCCTTTCTCTCTCTCTCTATCCCTCTCTCCCTCTCTCCCTCTCTCTCTATAGATCGCTTTTTCCCTCTATATTTCTTACACCCCTCTCTCTCTCTTTCTCCCCTTCTCTTTTATCATCTGTTTTATTTGTTTTTCCCCTATGCGTCTCATTGTCTTTCTTTCTTTTTCAATATCTTTATGTGTGTAGTTCTTTATTTTTCCACAGTGTTTGCCATTTCCCCTTTAATTCATTTAAATACTCCCCTCTCTGTTTGTCTTCTCAATACTAAAGAGCATATTAGAAATATGTTCAAAATATTGTGCATGAACAAAATACTCAACAGTGCATAAAATTATGAAATACACTCTTACACAAACTCTCAATAAGTGACACCCATAGTCCCTGACACCCTCTCTCCATGGACCTACCCATGCTCTCTCTCTCTCTCTCTCTCTCTCTCTCTCTCTCTCTCTCTCTCCCCCCCTCTCTCCCTCTCTCTCTCCCTCTCCCTCTCTCTCTCTCTCTCTCTCTCTCATCCCCTCTCTCCCTCTCTCCCTCTCATTCCCCCTCTCTCACTCCTCCTCCCTTTATATTCCTCTCACATCTTTTTATTTCTTCTACTTGTATTGTCATTGTATTATTTTCTTCTCTCCTTAGGCCTACTTTTCCCATTGTCATATAGATAATTAAGGAGCATATCATAATAAAAGCTGTAAATACAATGTCCCACGGAGTACAACCCGACCTACACTGTTGCCCAGACATTTTTGGAGTGAAAATATGGATTATTTTTTATTTATATTTTGTAAAATATATAGTTCATATTTTCTCAGAACTTCATACATTTTTTTTGACAATATGGATTATTCTTGATATATAAAGTTTATAACTTCTCAGAGCTTTAGGAAGATATAAACTATAACTATCAAGAATAATCCATATTGTCACAAAAGTTTAATTAAAAGAGGAAAGAAAACTAATAATTTATTCCAACTAAATGGAGAGTATACTTTCAGCGGGAGATAGAGGCAAAATATAAACCTGTTTGGTTTCTTTTCATTTTAATGTATTCAAGTTTTGCTTTGACTTGTATTTTGAAATCAAATACTTGTGCCCCTTCCTTTTACCGGGCAAAATATTCCTACTTACTGCGTAGAGAAATGATTATTCTCCACTCGTCTCCCCAATGCTTAGCATGCTTACACATGACAGACAGCACGTACGCCGCCAGGGGTTGGCTGAGTGTAGGGTGTAGCCATGATAATCTTCACTTCCCGTTTCTGAAACGTGCGTTGTGTGTGGTGTGCGGTGTATGTATGTGAGTGTGCGTTGTATGTATGTGAGTGTGGGTTTCTTATATTCTGCTACTGGGAGTTAGCTTCTAATTGTGCTTAAAATGTAAAGGCCGTATGCTTTACGAGAGGGGCCTCTCTTTTGTGAAAGTTACGAGATAACTTTAACACATGAAATGGTGAAATGAATACAATATTATATGCATGTAATTTCCCTACAAAGAATAACTAAGTACCTTGCCGGGCTTGCTGATGTCATAAGACCTAAACTTTTATATTTAAACGCTTTTCAGGCAGCAGTTACATAGGGGCGTACTCATGTTATTGTTAATAATAATTTGATAAGGTTCATTGCCATTCAAGAAAATGTAATAAATGTGTGATCATTCTATTCTTCCCTCAAATATCACTCTAACTCTACACTAAACTATCATTCAGTGCTAACACAAACATTTCATAGTTGATACGTGATTAATTATATAAATAAAAATTAGAATCAATCTTTTTCATCATAATGGTTTACATTAAAGGAATCTCTTGCATAATACGAAAACAATATATGTAAAGACAATACTTCAAATAGGAAAAGTACCACATTATTTTGGAAAGTATTTGCAAGTAATACTATGTTAGAGCCGTGAACTGTATTTTATAAGAATGGGAGGATGTATAAATCATCCCCAACCAAATGTGAGATAATGTTTATTTCCTTTATTTATTTTGTTGCATAAAGACTGGATGAAGGGTGTAAGGGGCCACGCGTGTGAGAATGTATAATAGGCGAGTGTGTGTGGGTATATGTGTGTGCGGGTGTAGTGTGTGTGTATGCATTGTGAGTGTTTTATGTCGGATCTTTTTTTCCAAAATTACTTTGGGGAAATGTCTAGCTTTTATACCATTATTGGCACATGTGTTGAGGTTTACATGTAGATGTATCTGGCAATTGTTTTTGGACTGTTTCTAAATTACATAAGGGCAATTAAAAAACCCTAGAAAGGTTCTAGCAATGCTGTTAGAAAATTTGGTCCCTCGATTAGAAACAGCCTCATGACTTTTGATACTTTAAAAGATTAAGGCGGATAAACATTTAATAAAGTTATATTTGTGGGAACTGAAAGCATCTAGGATATTTTTTATCCAAATACACTGTTGCCCATTGAAATAATGTTTCCTTTCCTCTTTGCATGAAATGATTATGACAATGTGATTTATTCTTGCGAAATGAAGCTTATGTCTTCTCAAAACTTCATGAATGTTTAGAATGATCAATAAAGCTCTGAGGAGATATATAAACTTTATCTATAAAGAAAAAATTGCATTGCCACAATTGCCACAAAAATATTAAAACTTTACGGAAAACGGTGTAAATGTGAACCAATATTCTTGGCGTCTTAAAGGCCCTATACAAATAGTTTTTGTTTGAAGATGAGCCATTCACATGACGACTATATAATATTATCCCATCCCTTCCTGCAAGAAAGTCTGGCGGGGGAGGGTGTTAATCACAAACCGGTGAGCAAGGGTTGTTTCAATTAACGCTTTTAATCACACTTCCTCCCATAATCTTAGGCTGATACAAGGCTGTGAGTTCACCCAGGCTGAGTCAGCCCTGTACTAGCGATCTATACATTTACTTAGTCCAACATCAGCATTTGAACTGAAGAGATTTAGTTTTCACCTTCCATTTTTTATTTATTAGTTCACTAATTTCAGTTGTGTATTCAAAGTTTGAAGTTTGTTATTAACATATTGCAGTATTGATATGGAATTACTAGTGGAGTTTATATTATTATGTATTTCCACCTTTTAAATATAAATTTAATATGATTTTCGCTTTTTTTAGCGTCACTAGTACTAAACACCATTAATACACGTAGTAACGTTGTTTAAGAAAACAATCTTCTTTATAGAGGTGATCCCCTAATTATCTGTACATGTATCACCTTTTCTTTGTCCCCTTTCCTGATTCTACGTTTAAAGGCCACGTGATCTAACAGTCATACTACTCATAACCCACGTGACACATCCAGTCTCTCACATTCGTATCATCATTATCATTGTTCGTCCTGATCCAGGGTACTGATATCCTGGCAATATTAAATGCTCGTTTACTGACCAAAGTTGGTGTCATGTTGTGTTTTGGGTGAACTAAATTCAAACCTAATAAGATTCCATCCTCTCTGCATAATTATATTGCCGATACAAAGACAATCAGCCCCTTTATAAATTTCAAAATGTATGATTCCCTGCAACTGCTATAAAGTCGATTCTAACCCTTCGAAATATAGTTTAAATCAATACAGTGTACATGTACAGTTTTTGCACAACCTCACAGTTCACAGGGCCTAGGTGGTATAGACAGAATTCCGTAGGTCTATATATACGTGTATAAAATGATAACCCTGTAATCAGGTTATTTGTGAAAAGGGACGCCTTTTGGATATGTATGTTCATGGTCAGCATATACTGTTTGGATTTCCTTAATCTAATCCAAGAATAATGATCTGTTGTTGTCGTTAATAATGATCGTTTTGAACCCAAAGAATGTCATCTACTCCCAAATAAATTTTACCTCTCGATCTTGTTGATTGATTCATTTATTTAGTAAGTTTCATCTCATTTATAAACAAAATTGCATACGAAGTTGATATCCAAATAAACACAACATGCACTTCATCATGTAAGAAATAAAACATTTATTGGGTTTTTCATTTCATCATGTTATTTTGTATAAAATCGATACAAACATACACACTTTGAAATCGTGGAATGCACACATCCTGTTCTCTAAGACATTGCATAATCAACTGTGCATTTAGTGAACTAAGACCATTTCAATAATTGACGTTTCTATAATTGGTAATGATATACCCTAAACAATTAGAATGTGTAGCTTCGGAAGAATGGTGTACCTCTTATAATAACTTTAGGTGCAATGTATTTTACACGTAGCCTATGTAAAAATAATGAATTCCGAAACATGAGAACTTAACTTTTCATAATCCCTTTTATATGAACCCATCTATAGATGTACTATACTAAATAAAAATCCTTACAGTAATCTATACAAAAGTTTATTTCTACAGACTCAATACACACGTAGAGAAAAACAAGTATATTTACAAAATTAAACGAAAACAACAACAAAATAACTTGCACAAGTTTGATCGAAAATAGTCATCAATTCCTTTCGTGAATCAAAGGAAAAAAGAAACAGAAAACAAACAAGAAAATAAAGAAAACATTGAATCTAATATTTCTATATATAGATATTCTTTCATTGTATGTACACCGCTAAAATCAAATACTATTATTCCAACTTTCTAATAACACATTTTTCTTAAAATAACGCTTTATCTTCAATGACGAGAAATAGATTACCAAATAGAAATTGGTACGACATTACCATGTTTTAGACAAAAAGATATTTTGTATTAAAAAACCAAGGCAGCTCATTGTATTTTTTTTGTTCGTGGTTGACCATCTATCTTACAATTTTGTTACAATTTGTACAAATATTTAGCACCACATATCCAAACCAAGAAAAACAACAAATAAAACGATTGTTGGAATATAAAGCCTATGTACAGTTTGCTTTTGGAAAGACACTGATTTTTCGAGCGATCATGAGCGGAGAACAACTCTCCATTTGGTTCTACTCTGTATCAAGCTGTAGGTTATTTAAGATAATTATTTCCACATGGTCCAACATTTTGTTGTGTTTAATTTGATGAGACTACTATAGTAGAGATATCCGTTGTATTGCACTTCAGGAACGTTGAAAGACGGGTTAAAACTTTCTCCTCATTCTGTTGAAAAATCAATCAATGAAAATAGAATTAGACAAAATCATTCTCAAATGTGCATATCAATTTGTAAAAGCGTTGGTGAATGACGGAAACGTTATTCAATTCAAATACGGACATTTTATAGATTTAATATTATTCTTTCATAAATGATGTTCCTCCGAATTCTAAGAATTTAATGTTTCCATTCAGTCAACTTGCATGAAGGTTGATTTTCCATTTAAGAGACACTGTTTTCAAGTGGGATGTAAATTGTTTGAAATCAGTGGATGACAGTACAAATCAATTCATGGTATAGATACAACCAAACAAAGAATTCGTGCAATTCAAGATGCAAAATAACATTAAAAATGCAAGTCATGTCAAGCCAGACAGGCAGTCTATTGTATTGGTTACATAATCTACCCTAGTCACCTCAGTCTTAGTGACCAAATACTGGGCTGAATTCCACGAACCATGTCCAGATAAATTACGGTACCTACCAAGCGCAATGTAAATACAAAGGGAGAGTGATCCCGAGTGATAGCTTCTTTCTGTATCCACTTCTGCTATTTGTAATCATTTATCAAGACAGCGCTTATTGGCGCTTTTTCGCATTAACGATGACAAAAAAAATGTGCGGCTTTACTACCAATGAAATGAAGAGCTTTAAAGGAATATCTGCTTCTCTTAATAGTAGAATAATTTCTCAAGCGCCAGAAGCCTAAATGCTTATTTCCTAGGCCATAACAGTAAAGACAGGTGAATCCGTGTTGTCCAAAAAAAATGCTTTATGCCGTTTGTCCTGAATTTAATAATAATAATAATAATAATAATAATAATAATAATAATAATAGTGGGTTCTTGTATAGCGCTCTTGTCTGTCAGATCAGCAGACTTGACACTTCCTGGCGCTCCGCAATTATTACCCCGGCTTTAGCATGGCTGCAATTACGGCGCTCTAGCATTTCAAGGAATTCATTCGTGCCAGGTACCCATTTACATCACCGGGTCGAGTGTGGCAAAATGTAGATTCAAGTCCTGCCAAAAGACATTTGCGCCGCGGCGGGACATGAGCAACTCAATAGTATCCCGCTCTGCTGAAAGTCAGAAGGAAGTTAACTTATATCATTAAGACAGAATTAACGCCTCTTTGGTTTTCAGCAGATGATTTTTATGGAGTTGATTTTAATCGTATAGTTTCTTGACATTGATTTAAGGATAAAATATCGGTGCCAGAGGGAAAAAATGACAACCATGTGACGAATTGAATGACTGGTATAACTGGGTGAATCCCCTTTCTGTTAGTAAAAACTGTTAGGGTTAGAAAACTAAAGTAAACACGTGCAATTTGTTAGCAATATCGATAAAAGGTATGTAGTAAAAGAGAAACGCATGGGCTTATATCGAGTCAGGTGGTTAAGTTATCACTTAATTAAAGTACTTTTAGTAGTCAGCATTGTGACACTATGAATTACAATTTGGGAATATCCGCGACTTGTAGGAAGCTCCCGTTTTTAAGAGTTGAAAACATTCAAAGGCAATCAACAATTTGTCAATCCTCGAAAGGTTTTGTGCTTTGAGACAAGCATTTCTTATAAGCGTGTGTACAAAGACTGGATATAGGCCCATAACATGAAAACCTAGGTGAGTTTTTGAACAAGAAGTAGTGATGTGCATGTGGTAAGAAGGAAATGTGAACTTTTCATGCCGTGATCAGAGTCAGTCAGCCAACGTAGAAGAAATGATAGAAGTTCCAACAAACAATGAAACCAAACGACTGATCCAGCATGTATAGAAGACAAAGTCATGCTTTAGGAGGAGTAAGGCATACCTTCTATCAAGTATTAGATCATAGACTTCCGTTTCTGACGAACGAACACCTAGATATAGTCCGCTCTCGGGGGTTTACCCTAAAAAACATTTTGAACTTTTGGAGTTCCGGCGACGATGGATTCCTTATGTAGGGAACACAAACAAAGGGATACAGCACAAAAGATACTGGTGTAATCATCACGTAAAAGTCTATACATCGGACTGGAGGTAGGTAATACACTCTACCAGTCTTGTCATAAATATTTTGATTCTGCACTCTTATAACCATTTTCGGCTTGGCCACAAATTGCATTCAAAATTGCACATGGTGTGTAAGTTGTTTGCTGTTTTTGTTTCCTTAATTAGTCGTATTAGTAATCATTACGTTTTCTTTTTATTAGCTTGCTTATGCCGACCTAGATGAGACTTTGGAACTAGAATTCGTTCGGGCCAACGGATGTCTACTAGTTAACGATGCAAGAAAGCGTAAGCGATGTATTAAATATAATTATTATGTGAGAAAATTAAATGATAAAAGGGGGGTGACAACAAAATGCTTCTCAAATGAAATCAAATGTGCTACCACTATAGTCACTAAAATGTGCATCTACGAGTTCTAAATGCAATTTCTAGCCGACCTACGGTTTGAGTGTTTTGTGTATTGCACTGCGTGTCTTCGACGTTGGCTGATTAAAAGTTCTTGTAGAGTCCACCTCTGTACAATGTTAGAAGGAAAACAAAAATCCCACATGCATTGCCGATTTAACGATTAAGATGATTAACAATCAAAATCAAAAATGGATTGTCACCAACGTTGATTCTTATTTAGGTGATTCATGTTGATGGTAACGTACAATTTGTTTGATATATTTAGATACTCATTAATCAAAGATTTGCTGTTATCTGACCAGTAGGTCTGAATCTTTTATAAGCATGGCAATACAAAAAGTAGGTACCAATATGGAAATAGCATCTCTAAATAAGCAACACATAACATGCAGCGACAAAAACTACTACATACTAAGCAATATACTAAGCAACGACTTGTACATGCACTATGCTAATGTGAACGCCTTTAATACTGGAAGCGATATAAGCTGTCACAACAATGACCGGTGCTAATAACTAGACAAGGGAATGGAAATATAAAGACAACGTGTGGAGTGGAATTAAACACAGCAGAAAAAAGGCCAACGATTCATATTTGTGTTGCGATATGGAAAATATTTGGTGCATGAAATCTATTTTTTGGTGTCGTTAAAACGAGATATTTCCTTCACATTAATGTTCGGAAGGAAGGCAAAGCTCCCCGGTGCATTTTGTCTGTAGTTTATCATCAATGGGAAACGTGTATACAATTCTGTTATTAGGGAGAGGTAAACTAAGGGTACATATTGGTCATGTTGGGTCATTCGTCTGTATCTACAACATCTCTTTGGGGTTCATCTTACCTGTAGAGAACGAAGACGAGGATGATCACCATGATTATAAATACAATAAGAGCTGGAAGAATGGCTGCGAGCACGACTACACCCTTTGACGTACAACCTGATAGAAGAGATGAGAAGTGAGAAAGAGAGAAGGAGGGAGGGGGAAGAAAGGGGGAAGAGACAGCGAGAAAGAGAAGAGAAAAGAAACAATCAAAAATGGTCCACTTTACGGTCATTTCATGTACAATCATGGCATTGATTGCTAATTATTTAGAGTGGTAATTTTAATCTGAATTCACATCCCACGGTTCAGATAAAATGATATCTCCTCATGCAGAAACCTAAACGAAGAATCAGAAATACATATTTGCTTTCCATTTCCGTACTCCGTAGAATTGGAAGCAAAGAAATACAGTTTTAAACCACCTTTAGGCATTTATAGAAGAAACTGGCTAAATGAAGCGGATGTTTGTGCTTGATGATGCTTACAGCATTTCGTATTAAAACAATAGACAGTGATAGGAGATAAGCAAAGTACTTTGCTAAAAACATCTCAATATACCCCCAAATGACCCATTTCCCTCTTTTACAAGATGAAGTAATGCTTTCTACTGCAGAAAGCGACATAATGTCCTATCAGAATAGACCTTACCTGTCATAGCTGCGCCGTCGCCGCCTCCACCGGGCCCTACGGGTACAACAGGTGCAGTGGGTCGGGGACGTCGGTGTGTTTCTGGGCAATCATACTCGGCCTCTGGACCTATGCAAAGGATAATAAACAAAGATAGCAATTGTAGATGGCATCAGCGTTTAATGGCAATGGATCTTGCTATAGACATCGGGTGATGGTTGACACAACCCTAATGAAAGTTCATAACAATGATGTTGTTAACGAGTTTTCAAAATTGCAATGACCATGCCGGGAATGGGTATAGAAAAGGTAGTAAAATCCGAAGGTTTTAGGAATCAGGATCTCTAAAAGACAACTTAATAAACAACCTAACATGTTGCTCATGGCGTCTTCAAGTTGTTACCTTTGTCAATATGGAGGGGGCATAATCTACTGTGTTTCTGTACATAATGCAAGCTTGACAGTAACAGTTAAAGTCAAAAACACATTTAGTTGTTGTTATCTACATAGTATTCGCCTTGTTAAATCAAAACCGAATAGAACACAGTGGTTCATTACTGATATACTTGTAATAATAATAAATAATAATAGTAGAGTCTTGTACAGCACTTATTTATGGCACATTGAAAAACCTCTATTCTTGATAGTATGGCAAAATAGGGGGTGTGGTGATTTTCGACACATCTAACGATCATGCATTAGCACCTTTGAATTTGAGTTGAGACAACTAGAGCAATACCTTATCATCAGTCAACTATTTGGTTAAGTAACAATTTAAATAATAATGCTAATTAATTGAAAATCTTTCTTGCATTTTAGAAACATTTAACAAGTCAAAGTAAACAAGGAAGCCATAAAATCAAGTTTCACATCCCCGGTCACGTGCAGTTTCTAACTTCTTGACCAAATGAATCTTTCCTCTCTTTTATATCCTTTTTCCCTTCTTATTTGTTTTCAACTGAACGTGCAAGTACTTTGTTACATTTAATAAATTGCCGGTTGCCTCCGAAACTGTATTTGAAATACAGTTTTGAGTACCTTTTTTTTAATTTAAGAAACTTTAACAAATAAAGTAAACAAGGAAGCCATAAAATCAAGTTTCACATCCCCGGTCAGGCTAAGTTTCGAACATCTTGACCAAATGTAACTTTTCTCCCTTTTATGTCTTGTTTCTCTTCTTGTTTTCAACTGAAAGTACAAGTACTTTGTCGAATTTAATAAAAATGACGGTTGCCTCCGAAACTGTATTTGAAATACAGTTTTTAAAAACCTTCTTTCCTTCTAGAAACATTTACAAAATAAAGTAAACAGGGAAGTCATAAAATCAAGTTTCACATCCCCGGTCACGAGACGTTTCGAAATCCTTGACCAAATGTAACTTTTCTCCCTTTTATTTCTTGTTTATCTTCTTATTTGTTTTTCACTGAACGTACATGTATTTTGTTTGTTGCATTTAATAAATTGTCGGTTGCCTCCGTTTCTGTATTTGAAAACTCTTCTTTCATTTTAGAAACTTTAACAAATTAAAGTAAACAAGGAAGCCATAAAATCAAGTTTCACATCCCCGGTGACGTCAAGTTTCTAACTTCCCGACAAAATTTTACTTTTCTCTCCTATATTTTTAATTTCTCTTCTTATTTGTTTTCCACTGAACGTACATGTACTTTGTTGCATTTAAAAAAAAATGCTGGTTGCCTCTGAATCTGAGGTGGAAAGGTTCTACACACCGACACCACCCATCTAATGCCAACTTCTTGGCTACCTGCATGTCTTGTGTCGCAATCTGAACTGGAACAAAAACCGTCTGGCGATTAAATTAAGATGTCCGTCCTTACATTCCGCTCTTGTCCCTGTGTTTAGTCACTCTTCCCCTATCTTATCTTCAGAATTCATGCAAGTCATCATCGTCATCATAAACTATGCCCGTATATGGGCAGACTGTCATTTTTGGCCTGTTTTCTCCCGGTTTTGATGATATTCCTGAGTCTAGATGGCAGATACAGGATAAATTCATTCACCCTTCCTTCTCCGCTCAAAATAGATCACGGATACTCAACGCTTAGCAAACATCTACGGAGACAGAAATTTAGAATGATATGAGCATCATTATAATGCTCATTAAGCCTATGCTTACGTTTATCAGGAGTGAAGTATTAATTCTGACTGAAAAATACAAACACATGTTTGATAACTTTAAAAAGTTATTGGGCAATATGATTATCTGGTTTGGAGATAATATATCAGGTACTCAAAAGTGTAACGATGTTGTAAACAGAATTTTGTGGTGATTGTAATGATTACTGGTTTTAAAGTCCTATCAATGGAGAGTAAGATATAAAATAAAAACAAACGTAAGGAGGATAATTTACTTAGTAGTTAAGTTGCTAGAATTGATTTAAACAAAGAGAATAAACAAACGCTTTATTCGATACACCAAAACTCCATACTTCATCCTATAGTTCTAGCTTTTCGTACTAGCCACTGCTACATTTTATTGCATTATCTGAGCCTCTATTGTCTAGACAGTATGATGATGCGTTTCCTATAGATAGCTGTGAGGTACAATGATAGAAACATATCATCTCCTGACATTAAAGTTTCCTCTCCGAGTCTAAAACCACGGCGAAAAGGTGCTTTTACCCCCCCCCCCCTCCCCAATTCGGATAAACACATCATAAAATGCTCATGGTCTCATAAATAAATATATACATTGTATAATAATTATGTGTGGACATTTGAAAGTATAAATCCTTGACTATATAAGGTTTCGAAATCCATGTCGATCTCAATAGCGTAGTCAAGGTTATGTTCGATAAAATTTTTCCACCTTTTCTCGACCTGCATCCCCTCTTAATGTTTGGTGTGAACAAAAAAAAAATCGAAAAAAGTTCACAAACATTCAAGGAAATATTTGAAGACTATGTTTTCATCTCGATATTGTGAGTCCACACTAAATGAATAATGTGCAAGTTAATATTTTCTAACTTTTTACATAACAGCCAGCAACCAAGCTTCACATACACTAGTATTAGACACATACCCTAGCTTCCTTTTTCCACTGCACAATCTATCAACGTTAAGGGGCATGTGTTCGTTATGTATCTCACACATTGTGAAAGGAAACGCATCTCGTTTGCAAAGTTTGAGTCATCAAATTAACGCACCCCGTTCCACTTCTACAAGCGGAAGAAGTCGCTACCGTCCTGACCTTTATAGTAAGGTCGTCACCATGGTAACTTGATCTATTTAATTCTCCATCCTATTGCCATAATGAGAGAGCCCTTGAATAACATTTAGCTGATATCAAGACGTTGTCACATTTATGATAGTAATCGCGCGTTAAATAGTCTAAATGTCAACATATTGATGTTGGCATCATAAGTCCCAAAAGGAAGCAAAGACAATATAGACGCTCACTTGCATTATATGTAATCTCACTTTTGTCATCCAAGTACATACAGTTAACAGACATTTTAGGAGTAGTATCCTGTAAGACACCGTCACCCCAGTCGGTTAACCACATCCTCTCATAAGTTCGTGTGCACACGTCATATTTTACGAGTACAAACTGTTTAAAAAGCCCCCCCCCCCATTTCCCATCTACAAGCTTTGCGTATGGGCTTATACATCTTCACAACATGCCTATCATCTTTGATATCCCTTTGAAGAAGCATTCGTATATAGCTGGCCGGAATAGTGGAGAAATAATAATCCAATTCACAAGCTGTCCAATCACCACTATTTCCCTATCCCACTTTGGCGACCCAATTATAAGAAGTACGCCTCAGGGGTGGGTGCGATAGTAGCGGAAATACAGTGGAAATGGGAAGAAAAATCTTCATAACTCTCTTTCCTACTGAACCTGTGTTATAAAGGTGAAATATCTGGGACAGACTGCTACATTTTCTCAACAACCAAGAGCTTATATAAAATTATCCCCAATACAATGCTAATCCTTCTTTTCTGTCCCAGATAGGGTTAGATGGAATTCACTTCTCTTTGCATTTATATTCTAGTATATACACTATACTGGATATAAAGGACTAATTCTAGTTAATCCTAATTAACATCATCCTAATATTTCAGCCTACATTTCATTGTGATCCCTAGTTCATCCCTTTCGCTCCGACATCATCCTCTAGAGATCTTCGAGGTTGTCCATCTCCTCCGAGCGCAACACTCTTATTAACTTATTAACTGGTAAGGATGGCATGCTATTGATTAACATGGTACTTAAGGGATGACCATAACCAGGTGTAAGCACGCATACAATCGACCATTCATCACAATATAACCAGCACTGAAGACCGTATATGTATCCTGTTGTAGGATGCAATAGTTGCTCGGCTGTACGCCATTTACCCCCACAGCCATTACTCGTTTTTTCTATCGGTAGTGATAAATACCGCATAAATATCATACAACCGGCGTAAGTCAAACCAAGGTTTAGAAACCAAGGAATAAAGTCCTACATATTAAGCAGCAGTAGTTTTGCTATTTTTTATTCGTTAACAATTTATTAATTATTGATGCCGTGAAAATTAGTGACGAACTGACGCTTTATGATCATTTTTCACAATTATCATTATATCGGCCTAAAAGGGCTTCCAATAAGCATGATAACAGTGAGGGGTTAAGGAAGCCTTTCCCTGATTGTTAGACTTTGGCATACATCGTGTTACTAAGGGAATAGGATATATCGAAAATGAAGCCTAGTTCTTGCCATCAGGCAATATTTTCTTGCCTGACCGGGCGATCCGTGATATATAAGGAAGATGACCCTGGTGACAAACGAAAGCCTATCATCCTAATTATCATGTGACACTTACCCTGCCTTCCAGGTCGGGTACATGTGAGTTGCCTAAGCTGATAAGCCGCTGGGTAACCAAAGGATGTGCCACTGGCGAACCCGTAGATGACGGCCATGAAACGAACATCCTTCTCGTAATTTGTCAGGATGTTTCGGACGTCGTCAAGGGGAACGGTTCTGTACAGATTATGGGCAAAAAAGGAAAGATAACAGATTGTATTTCAGCATTGTAAGAACATATCGGTGTATATCATTAATTAAATAAATAAAGAAATGAGGTTATCTAATTAATATAAACGTACTTGAAAGAATAACATTTACATAGTGAATTTCTTCTATATCAATCTAACAAAGAAAATGGCAACCATAAAATGATTTTTTTTTTTATGACAGAAAGATTTATTGTCTGTTCAAACTCGACTGCTATGCTGTAAAGCGTTGGCGAAGAACATGAAGAATTTTACTAGGTTTGCTATTTCAATTATTTTCAAGTAATGGACGATTCATCCTGTTTCGAACTTACGCGTCAGCTGTGAATGTTCTCGAGATACCGGTGCCTGGGATTCCCGTACTGGGTTCAAATGCTGGCTTTCCGTTGAGACTCATGGTGAAGAGAGCTGGTGAGGTGAAGGACACTCCGGCAAACATGTTGAGCATGTCTGTTCCTGACTGATTGAAAGAACCGAAGGTGATCTCCTTCTCCATGTACTGCTCGACAGGTGGGATGAGGGTCATGAAGGGATCTCCGTTGTTATCCTTCTGCATTCCCTTGGCGTACTGGACAACCATGATGGGTTTGTCTGACTGGAGTGTGGTCTTTAGTGAAGCTGGTTGATTGAATTCCCTGAAGCTACCTTCGAACTGGAGTTGGACATTATTACCCATGATGTGTACTGTAGTTGATGGACGACCAGCGATGATTCTAAAGATGAAACCACCGGATCGGTTGGAGAATGGTAGGAGGGTAAATCTCTTACCCCATGTGTTGAAAGGTGGCAGGTGCTCCACAAGATGGTCGCATCTGTACACTTGGGTTGGGACGAGAGTGCAAGAAGCTCCAGACATGACGCTGAGGGGCTTGGTGGATGTGATCTTTGTTCCTGTAAGATCTTCCTGACTCTGGAACTGGATGGACTGGTACTTTCCTACATTGACGGTCAGGGTTTGTCCCTTGCTGTACCATTGTGAGTTATGTTGAAGCCTGGCTTGAAGGACGATCTTTACGGATGTATCAGGCTGGATACCTGTGATCAGGAACTGTGACATTTCGATAGGGACCGGGTCGTAAGATGCCACATAGTATTCCTGACCAAGACCATGAGTTGGGATAGCCAAGAAGGCATCGTTTGTCATGGTGAGCGAGTTGAGCCCACTGATTGACACATCTTTGGTGGCCCTTACGATCAGGGTACCGTTGACTGGCCCAGCCCCTCGAGCAGCAACGTCTGGATTAATATCGACGTTCCTTACCTGTCCAAGGAATAATGATTAATAGCAAGAAATTAATGAATTGGCGACGAATTGTGAAAATGCTTTTACATAAATTTGCAATTCATCCCATTGGATAATAATTAAGATGATTTGCTTTTACATTGTATACAAAAATATATGTTTCTTAAATAATTTATTCCTGGATAACCAGAGAGCAGTAATACTCTAACTGTCGCTGGAATCAGCCAGCATTATGTTGGTTCATATTCTTCCATACGTTTAGGGTGGTATATTCTGTCGGACTTGGTCTATTTAGACATGCAAACTGTACCTGCTTGTGCTGTAGCTGTACAGTCTGCTGCCAGTTAAAGTTTGGTGCTTCAATCTGAACCCTTGTAAGTCCTGGTTCATTGGCTCCTATCAGCAGGGATAGCTTGTCTGGTCTCTTGTTCTGAAAATTACTCTGGAAGGCGAAGACGAACTCCTTACCGGTCGTGTCAAGAGGGGCTACAGAGAAAGAGATTGAGAGCGATATGAAGAGAATAATTAATGGTAAATATCATCATCAATAGTGATAAAAATGATGTCAGTTTATGACCCAATCAAAATGTTATACGTGTCTCTCCAAGTTCCTAGGTCTTGAGCCATCCGTTTCAGCGTTTCATACCCTGTTGCTCCACATTCTGTGATTACATCGTCTAGAAAGCCTTTACGAGGTCTTCTTCTTTCCATGAATACGACCTTCTATGACTCTGAGCATCAAGCCCTCATCGTGTCCAAGCCATTTCCTCTGTCTCTCTCTAATCGTTTGAATCAGCACCCGCTGAATATGGTAAATATATATTTTTTTTGAAATACACGTTTGAATACTTGTAGTGAAAGACGTCATTATGACGTCACAAAAGTTCACATCTTCGTTAGATAGTGAAAGTGTCTGCATGATATTGATATATGTAAATGCATAAATAACACAGGGGTTATCAAATTAGTCTGGACCGTACTTGGTATCAATGACCATGGTGAGAATAGAACCGAAATTTAGATTTTATGGGTATATGAGGGTGTGCATTAGGGTGTCCGTTGTGTATGACAATTGAAACTGTTAGGACTAACTGAAAACCACAAAACCGATAATTTAAATAAATTCGTTTAAATTTTAATACAAATATTATCATCTTATCGATCAAAACAAATAATTCTATAATTTTAGCAGCATCAGCAACAGAGAAATTCGAAAGGTTCGAGTGTGTTAAATAATGTAAAATAATAGCATTAAGATTGAAACAAAATGTATTGCACGTGTTGCATTCAAAAATTCAATAAGCTCTAACTATCCCAATCTCAAGTTCCCAGGGCTTTTCGACCCCACGAGTGGTGGGAGGGGTGAGCCAGTTAAGCCAACACGTGTCATAGGTGTATAAATAGCTCCTCGCAAAAGCCGCGGATTTCCGGCTACTTCCTCGCCGGTTTCATGCGTAATATCGCCCAAAATATATTCAAGAGTATCGTGGTACGAAGAAAGAGAAATAACGAGATCAGTGCAACCAAGTAGGTGTCTAATATGATTACAGTACTCCTAGATTTATCAAATCGGATTACAAATGTGATTTGTGCGGGAACAAAGCCCTGGGGCTGTGTCAATCCCAATGCAAAGGATTGAAAAATGTCATCTACCTGGAATGCAATAATTATTGTATTGCATTGCATGAGGTTTTCATACTTCTAAGCTCATGAAATAACGTTGGTTAAGTTCGTAATTTTTCAGCCAGCTGTTCGATAATGGGCACTTAACTCATGAAATAAAAAGAGTCGCCTTCGAAACCTGACAGACGATATAATTTTTTGGCGAGAACAAGAAAATAGTGATAACGTATTGGGATTACTGTGCTATAGTATGTTGAATTGGTAAATTTTTCCAGAATTTAAACTCCATGTGGCAGAGATTTGAAAAACCTTAACCAAAATACTGAAAATGATTATATGATCAATGAAAATAAATCATTAAGAAAAAAAGAAACTGTGAGGTTTGTTCCCGTCGGTTATGAACATGTCTTATTTAGCAAGGCGTAATTTCCCAAGCTCCTCCCTGTTTGCTTTAATACTGGCCGAAAAATGGCGATGACAAACCTAGCAATCTGTCTGGTTGTGCATTAAATTTACCCTTCGTTTGACCCGATTTCGCCCTCTCATTTAAGCTAATACGCCATACGTCTGAAAATATTCACAGATCAAGGCTTAGAACAGTGACATATTTTGAATGAGTCAGATAAATTATCTTGCTTTTTCATGCCCTGCAATAGTTCCCGCGTGATATGGCGTAGGTTTTGGATGAACGCCCAAAGACACATACGTGCTTGATGATGCCTCCATCAAGCTTCCCAGAGAGGTCTCAAATCTTAAAGAAACTTCAGGGTGGTATCCGAAGATGAAGCAATAGATAAGTATATGATTCAAAGTATATGATCTAAGATATCAATCATGCATTGATCAAGTTAAAGAAAAATGTGTCCATATTAAAATATTTTGTAAGTGTTGTATATTGTGGACACACTGTTGGTGGTCCTCTGTGGGGCCACGGGGTCACACAATGTGAACAAGTATTAGGATCAACACAAGGAATAATATTGTATTGTTAGTACGTTAAGGTGTTTTCCCTGGATCAAGAAAATAATGCGAATGATATGTTAATCATACGTTTTGTAATTTTCCCCATAGAAACGATGTACAACCAGTAACTTCTATCCAAACTGTAACTAAAATCATGATATTGTATTATCACATCTCGCTCATACGAGGTCGCCTTCAGACGAATGAACTTTGGACGTACATCCCTGGGCTTGATCCAAACTATCAGTCTCGAATCAGTCGCGACATAGTCGAATAAAGATAAACTCTCTCTAAAAGTGGGCTACCAGGGGTGTTGAGAGGAGCGGAAGGGGTGCAGGAGAGGGGTAACGATAGAGGGGAACCTGCCGTAGCCGGCCACTTATACACCTAGCTGAATCTCAGAGGAGTGGTGGGTGGTTGGTAAGAAAGGTGAGACGCGATGAGAGCTAGGGTTTGGGCCTGGATTGGTGGTGAAAGATGGAGGATTATATTAAGGGTTTGGAAACCAGTAGGGCGGCACTATAAAGTAATCTTCTAAAACTAGCCTTTGTGGTTAAGGTCATATCCACAAACTCTCTCAGAATATCGTTTTGTGCGTTCTCTTTACAATAACCCTAAAGAACCGTTCACAATCAGTTGGAGTTGTTTGAGGGCATGTTTGAGTCCTATGTTGTTTCAAGCAATTTGCTAATTGAAAATTACAGTGTGTCTCACTTTCTTGCGAATATGTATGCTATCCTAGAACTTGTGACCACTAATTAGAGAGGCGTGTATGACATCCTACTTTGTACAAAGGCCACCCGGTGGATTGTGTTTATTACACTTCCTATAGTGAGGTGTGGGATCCCTTTTAGTCATCCCGCCACAATCAGAGTCATTCCTTATTCAATGAACACGACATACAGATCGAAAAGGTACATCAGGATCAGGTCTTGATGTTTTTAAAATTGGCATGCTTTGCTTTATGGGTGTAAAATCATACCGCATCGTGTCCTACACTTCCTCTGCTGAACAGGAACCGTCCAATGCTTAATCCCTCGTTCTTTACCCCCTATTAATCTCTAGGCAATGCTGGGAGGAAATCAGTTCAAGCTTTTGTCGCAAGATCGTTGGCAGATGACGCAGGATGGTAAAGATCGGTAGAAGCATATTAAGAAATCAATTAGGATCTTTCCGTGTTACGCCCAACTTAGTCCTTAACCATGCCATATGTCTATGATACGTTATATATAACGCAGACTCCCTCGTTTCAAATCATTTAGAACCACTATTTACAGAAGTTACATATTCTGTAGACTGAAAGAACTTGGATATTCGTTTTTTCACAGCCTACCTAACGTTTCAGAGCACAGACATCACGTAAGATATAGTAAATATCATTATTCGTTTCATTATTCATTCGTACACTTCACAGAAATCCATTTCAAATGATTACACAATTTAAAATTGGCAAGAGTGGGTTTGTGATTCAGAAACTTTTAACTACAGGAAACAGATTGTGATTTTTCAAAGGATCTCGTGTTAAATTATTTCCCTATTCATTATGTACGAACTACTGTATTTTTATATTAAAAAATAAATAGATAAATAAAATTTATCATTCAATTGTGACATGAAAATGAAGAATGAATGTCATAAAGATATGTTTTTTTTTGTTAATAATTTTGGTGAAATCATTAAGGAAGTTTTTATAGGATGAATCGTTCAACACCTAACGGTCCACTATTGAATACAAAATACCTCTACGCACTTACTTGACTTCGGAGCTTTATAGTCATGTTGGTCCGGGTTTTAACCTGGATTATTGGGGTTTTCTCTCAAAAATATCTGCCCTTAAATACAATTCTCATGAATTTGATATTAGCTTTGTGAAAAATAAACATTACAGGAGTTGGGTTTCATAACACTTCGTAGCTCTTAAGTGACATTTCAATATTGTAACAGAGGTTGCAATACGTAATAACATAAATTTCAAGGGTTATTTAATATCGGCGTTTTGGGTAACTCATTTAAAGAAATTGATGGTAAAGAATGTGTCCCTTCGAACAGCAGCTCAATTTAGAAAGTGAGAGAGAGAGAGATAGGTAGAGAGGTAGAGAGAGAGAGAGAGAGAAGGGGGAGACAAGGAAAGACGAAGGAAGTGCATTGCCCTGAAATATGGAAAATGAGCTAGACATGTTGTAAATGGATACGGGAATAGGGTATACCGAGGCAATGGTTTTCTAGAAGACATAAGTAGGCCAACAAGAAAGCAAGGATTGGAGAGATATCTCAGATAACACGCATTTAAATCTCTATGCATAGGGACATTTTAGGGAGAGCTTTTGATAAGATCGGCACTCTGGAGATTACTTTCAAATACTCATATCTTGACATTCTGTTGACTGATAATATAGGGACGATCTGTGGCTATTTGATTGCAACATGTTTTACCACAGTGTGCAATTTAGTTTAATAATAAACTGCATTTTGAAGTCACTTCATGCAGGAATACCAAATTGTCCATTTCATGTTAAGTATTCAGGGTATAATGACCAATAGAAAGTTCGAAATTAAGACTTATTCTATTGAATATTATTGAAAAGGCAAATATACAAAATTAATCACGTACTCTTAAAAAATACGAAGAATATTGACCCAAAGAGCGAAGAGTTCGTGTTGCACCTGTCCTTTTCCAGCACTCAATTGACCGGGTTCTCTTTGCTCTAAATCAAACACTTTGTTTTTGAAAATAAACAAAAACAGAGCTCGTCATTCACGCAGGGAGAAAATGGAAGAAGGGATGGAAAACGACCCAATTCACCCTCTCAATCTAAAGCAGGTATCATGGCTTACAGATCTCACCAATATTCTGTTCGGCGGAGCGTAAATTCCTCTCGCTTCGAACTACTTACGCATTA